AAATATAATATATATATTAAAATTATATAAATAAATAAATAAAGTTATATAAATATATATATATTAATATATTTATATATTTATATAAGTTATTATATATTTTATTATTTTTTATATATTTTTTGTCATCTCATTTAAATTTTTATTAATTGCTTATTTTATTTATAATATTTGTATTAAATTTTTAAATTATTATTTATTATTTTAATTTTTTTATTTTAATTAATTTTCAAATATTTTTTTTAAATAGAGAAAAAAAATATGTCAACATATACATAATAATATTAAAAAAAATAAAATAATTTCCAGATAAACTCATCAATGAAATAATATTAAGATAAAGAATCATATATATAATTTTTAGAATCATAAATTGAAAAAATAGCGGATTTTACTTAAAAGACTCCGTAAATAGAATAAAAGATAAATTAAATATAAGAATAATTATTTGAAAATGAAGAAAAATTTTCTAATATAACAAAATTAATATAATTATTATAATCTTTTGCAGATACATAAGTATTTTTTTAATTATAAATATAATTATAAAAAATTTAAATTTATAAAAATCATTAATTTATATATATTTATATAATTATTTTTTATATATATAATGTATTTAAAATAAAAATAAAAGGATAGCCTTTTTTTTAAAATAAAAATAAAAAATTATTTTGTTTTTTAATTAAAAATAATATAAAGTGCGATTAAGTTTTAATTTTAATAATACATTATATATGAATATATAATAATATGTTAATTTATATATATATAAATATATATATTTATTTATATATATATTTATATTTTTATTTAAATATATATTTATATATATAATCATATATATTCGCCTTTTTTTTATTTTTATTTTTTAGGAAAATGAAAATCGATTTATTAAAGAATAAATAAATAAACCATATATTTTAGTAGAAAAAGGTATAGAATAATTGCGATTGAATACTGAAGAATAGATTAACTTAATTGATTAAAAAATGATTTAAAAAAATTAAATTATAGATAATTAAATTCAATATATGCATTAAAATATTTCTGAATTTTAACAAAAAATGCAGTCTTTTGCTAATAATTTATCTTAAGATATTGCAAAAGATATAAAAAATCTTGCTAATACTATAAATCATGAGAATATTTTACCTTAAAATTATATAGAAAATGATTAGATAGAAAAAATAAGATTTGAAATTAATCAAAAAATTGAATTTGTTATTAAAGAAATGAGAAAAAATGTACTTAAATAAGATCTAGAAGTTTTAGATAAATAAATTAAATAAGAAAAAAAAGAAAGAACTGAATTTTAATTAATTATTGATTAATTAATTAACAAAATTGATTAATTTCCTAAAAATAACACTTTTTCTCCTAAAAAAGTAAAATCTTAGGACTAAAATTAAAATATTGAAGTTATTTTATCTCCTCTAACAGGTATAGAAATAAATAAATATACATATGTATAAATTTAATATAAAAAGTTCGATAAATAGAGAATGAAATATAATATCTAAAGGCAAGTATATAAGAAATATAAGAAACAACTGAAAGAAGAAACTAATAAAAATATGATTAAATAGAATAAAATATATTAGATAAAGTAATAACTCTTATAGACAATTTTAGTTTCTAGAAAAATTATTAATTAGAAAATAATTAATTAGTTGAAAGTTTTGGATATAAATAAAATATAAATAAAAATTAAATATAATAATAATAAATATAATAATAATAATAAAATAATAATACCCATTTTGAAGAAAGAATTCTCAAAAAAAAAGAATGTGGAGAAAGTCCTACTTTCTAAAAAGAAAATACTGAATTTCGTGTACACAGAGGTAGATAGTAATAAGAAAATACTTTAAAAAAATAAAAAAATAACAAATCATCTAATAGTAATTCACTTAATTCTCAAGATATTAAAAAAGAAAATAAAAAATAATCTGATACTTCACATTCTTTATCTAAATCTTCATAATAAAACATCAAAAGTATTCATAGTATTCTTAAAAATGATAATTCTTCAGCTTATTCTTTAGATTTTAATACTAATAAAACTATTAAAACAGTATAGACATTAAATAAAAGCTCGTAGAATATTAAAAAAAATGAAACAGAACCGATTATTGAAAAGTCACCAGTAAATAAAAAAGAAAAAAGTAAAAATAAAGAAAATTTTGCTCAGAAAAAAAAACACTAGTAAGAAATAATTAAAGAACTTTTTAAAAAATAAAAATTGATGACTAATAATACAAAAAATACTATGAATGTATTATTTTTTTTATATAATATTTAATGTATTATTTTTCTAAAATAAAAATATAAAAGTCAAGTTTATCTACTAATAATAATGGAGGAACAGATAAAAAAAAAAATAAAAAGAAAAAAAATTGATATAAAATGAAATTATTTATAATAAATATTTTATTAGTTTTTTTTTTAAAAAATAAAATAAAATTATATCAATAAAAATTATAATAATAATAAATAAATAATATATTGACAATATATATTTTATAATTAAAATTATTTAAAAATTAAAAAATATAAAATATAAAAAATAGATATATATATATATAAAAAAATAAAAATACACTATATATAAATTAATATTTAAATAATAAAATCATTTAATTAATATTATATATTTATATATTTATATAATTTTGTATTTAATAAATTAATTTTATATTTTAAAATATTAAATTATTTTGTTTTAACTAAGTAATTTAATTGTTAAACTTAATAAAGATAAAAAAATTATAAATTTGAATATTATTAAATATAATTATGTTTTTATAAGCAATTGAAATTTTTCTCTAATAGGGTTTAAATTTAATAAATTAAGGCTCATTAGTTTAACAAAATAAAATAATTTAAGCATTATAAAATTATAATAATATTAGTTAGTAATATACTAAATATCATATAACTAAACATTTTAATTATATTCTTTTATTGAAAGGAATTAAAATTATTATAAAACTAATATCTGATTTCCTATTATAACTAAAGTAAAGGCATAAAAAAATTTTCTAATTTCCTAATATAACTGAAGTAAAGGCTTAATTTTCAAGTTTCTTTAATTCTGTTTTATTTTTTGGGATATTTGAAGCTTAATTTTAAATTATTATTATTAAATCATATTATATTGCTAACATATTTGATTTAAAGAAAGAATTTAAAAATTTAATTAAATTTTATATTTTAATCATTTTAAAAATATAAATAAATTAAATAAAAAAAGTTAAGAGATATTTTTAAAAATTAAGAAATATTAATGATGCAGTTTTTCTTAAAAATAATAAAAAATAAATGATTAAGTTACAAATTATACAATAAAACAGTTAAATATAAAATATATTTTAATATTAAAAATGATCACTATATTAATTTTAGATTTAAATCGCTTTCTTGCTTTATTGAATGACTTGGTTAATTATTTTAAGTTAAAAAAAAATATAAATTATCAAAATTAAAAAAATCAATTCTTAATATAATATATAGATATATTATTTAGATAAATACTATCGTTTCATTATTTTTTTTTTTTTAATTTTAATATCTCAATCAGTAATATTTATGGAATTTTTTTTTTTTCTTTCTCGTTAATAAAAATCAAATTTAAAAAATATAAAAAAAAAAAACAATAAAATAAATACAAAATGAACAAAAATATATATATAATAATACAATATAATTATATTTCTAAATAATAAATTAAATATTTATTTTTGTTAATTTTTAAATTACAAAACGCAAAATCTATAAAATCATTACTACATAATATTTATATAATCCTAAGTTGTATTTAAATTTTCATTTACGTATTTAAAATATAATAACTAAACATAAGCTTTTACACTATTTCTCTAATCATCATCTTAATACTAATCTCCTATAGAATCCAAATACTCAAGAAAAACCTACAAAGGAGAAAAACAAATTTCCCCACAATTAAATCCTTTAAAAACCATATCTTTAAGTTTTAACTATTACTAATTTGAATACGTACTTCTAGTCGAATATCTTGTATTGTCAGTTCTAAATGTATCCAATTAAGTATTATTATTAGTTTCATTATTTCTTTTATTATCAATTTCCTATTATTACAATTATATCTATTTTTATTATTATTATCTTTAAGATAAATTGACTTCTTCATCTTTTATTTATTCTAAAGTAACTTCATATAAACTATGTAAAGCATATTCCCATCCATTTCTTTTTTTAATGCTAAAATATTAAGTCTATTTTCCAATTTTTAAAATCATAATAACATTCCAGAATTAATTATCGATTAAAATAATTTCATTATCATTAAAAAACTATAATAATTATTAAAAAGCCAAACTTAATTTTAATAATTAAAATTAAATTTTCGGTGTAGTAAATTCTTTCAATCCATATTATTTTTCCAATTATTCGGCATCATAATAATTTATATCAGTTCTTTTGGCGATAATTTAACTTATTAAAATTACTTGGCTTAATGATTATAATAAACCTTAACATCCTTCTTATAAATAATGAATTAATGCAACTGATAATGAGTTCTTTTTTGGATTAAAATCTTTTAGTCTATCTAATAATTGTATTTGGTTAAAATCTGGTTATAAACGGGGAATTGTTGTTTAATTTTTTATTGTTAAGTCTTTTTGTTATTTTTCTTTTCTTTTTGACCAACAGCTTTGACCCATTTTTTATATTTTAAATATTTTTTATGGTTTTTTATTTTTTTTTACTTAATTAACCTTTTTATTTATTTTTTCATATTATATTATATTATATTATATTATTATATTATATTATATTATATTGATGATGGAATAATATATTTGATTTATTAATTTTCTATTTATATATAAAATTTAATTTTTATTAATATTATTTTTTTCTTATATATTTTTATTGTTTTATATTTTTAAATAAATTAATAATTATAAAAATATAAATATTAAACAATTATTTTAATTTTTTTTTTAAAAAAAAAAATAGTATTTTTAATTAATATTTTTTTTTTGTTATAAAAAAAAAATATAAAAAAAAAAATGTAAAAAAATCAAAATAATTATCAAGATGATGAAAATAAAGAAAATATATTTCCTTCTACAAATAATATTTCTGATTAAAAATCTTCTTAAAACCTCATACTTCAAGAAGCTCCTCCCACTGATTAAATCCCTAATGGTCACAAAAACATGACTTCATACACTGAAGAAGATAAATTAAAATGTCCATACTTCTAAATGCAATAATAGAATTAAGAAAAAGCTCAAGAATCCTTATTAGAAGAAAAAACTAATGACGACGAACAACCTACAAGTAGTTCAAGTGAAGATGAAGAAGGAAATAAAAAAAATTAAAAAGGAGGTTGCCCTTTTATGCCTTCTGAAAGAAAAAAAAACCCAGGTTTATTTCATTTAGAATACAAATATAATATCCATTACATTAGCAGACATTAGTATTTATTAGACTCAGACCCTTTATTAATTTAACAAAATAAAAAGAAAAAAATAGATAGAAAAATATTTAATAGCTATCCCATTTATTTAAAACATACGATTTTTCATGATGATGATTTAATGAAAAAAATCAGACTAAAAGAAATTACGGAAAGATTTTTCGCTTATGATAAATTTAGAGAAAGGGGAAATAGATATTTTAATAAATAAAAAATTACTACTGCTTTATATTATTATGAAAGGGCTTTAAGTTGTTTTAAATGGCTTGAGTTAATTGATGAAGAAGATGAAAAAAAAAAAGTAAAAATAATAATAATATTTTAGATTGTGAAGAAGAAAAAAAAATGAAAATAATGAAGTCTAAAATAAAACTCTTTTATAAAAAAATTAAAGTTTTTAGAAAAATGATTAAAAAGATGAATAAATTTAATAGATAAATATTACTTAAATTCGATAGTAAAATTAATAAAAAAATAATAACTAACAATAAATAACAAAACCAGAAAAAGGAGATTAAGAAAAAGAAGATACTGAAGACGATATTTTATCTTATAAACTAAATGTTGGACAATCCGAAAATATTTTAAGAGAAAAAATATTATCATAATAATAAACTATACTAGAAGAAGAAAAATAAAGACAATAAATACTCAAACAAAAATTATTGGATAAAAAAAGTTAAAATGAAAACTAATCTATTAAAAGCTTTTCAAGCCATAATAGTTTTTCAAGTGATGACAATGAAAGTGAAAAAGAGGAAAAAAAATGAAAAAAAAATACAGGAAGGTTATTAAGATAATGATATTAGAAGTATTTCTGTAGAAGGTTTCTAAGAAGACAGAAGCGAGAGAAATTTTTCATCTGATGAAGAAATATTAGATGCGGAGAAAATAATAAAAAAAATACAAATAAATGAATAAGAAACTACAATTATTATGGACGAAAAAGAAAAAGAGAAAATTATATAAGAAGAGTAAACTAAAAGATAAATGGAAAAAGAAGATAAAGAAATAAAATAAAAATATAGATTATATGTAAATAATATTATATATAAATAATAATAAAAAAAAAGTTAACAACTTTTACAGACAATAATATAAAACTTTTCGATGGTGAAAATTTAAAAGATTGTAATGATATTGATTTGAGATTTTCAATGCTAGTTAATACTTATTTAAATTTAGGGTAAACAATAAAAATAATATAATTATATATGAATATATATATATATATATATATATATATAAAAATATATATATTAGTATATTTATATATTATTATATTTAAATATTTATTTTTATTTATATATATAAAAAAACATTAATTACTTTTATATATAAATTAAAATATTTATTATAATATATATTATATATATAAATTTTAATATAAATATTTATCCCTTAATTTATTATTAATAAATATATTTTTAATCAATAATAGTATATGTTATATGGTTTTATATAATTTTGATTTAGCTTTAATTTCTTTTAAAGATGCATATAAATTGCATTAAAAAGGAAGTATTATTCTATTAAGAATGGCTTAAAGTGTTTTATATAATAAAAATTCATCTTTTTAAGATTTAAAATAAGCTTAATAATGGTTAGATTTATCTTTAGAAATAAAAAAAATGAAAAGATTTTCAATAAAAACGAGAAAGCAATGCTTAGAGTTATGAATTTATAAAATCACATCGAATTTACAAAGGATTTGTAAGAAAATTTATAAAAAAGATTATAAGAATAAAGAAACATCGAAAAGGAAAAATTAAGAGATTTATTTGAAAGAATAAAAGAATTAAATGAAATCGAATAAGATATGATATCTTAAGGAATAGTCCCTTAAGAAGAAAGTTGGATTAATTTACAAGATAAAGGAATCGAATAATAATTAATAGAAAAAATGGAACAGAAATATTATTTAGTATTAGAAAGTTACTTATATAATGGAAAAAATAAAGAAAAGAAGCTTTTTTTATAAAAAATTTAAAAATTTTATGAAATTTAAAGCTAAATGAAATATTATTTAAATCTTGATTTTATTAATTACTCATAATAAGAAATAATGGTAGAATTGGTTAATGAATATCAGATTGATATGGAAAATTAAAAAAACTAATAAAGATTCATCAGAGAAAAAATTGAAATGGCAAAAGAAATTTTCAATTTTAATAATTTTGAGTATCCTATATATAAATGGGCACTAGATGATATTATGGAATAAAAAAGAAAAATAAGAAAGTAAATAGAAAAAAAGTCATAATAAAATCTTTCTAAAAAAAGTACTAAATTAGAATATGTTAAAAATATTATTTATTCTTAAAGCTCTTTAAGTTAACTTCTTCTTTTGGTTTTCTTCGCTTTTATTTTTCACTATTTAATTTAAAGTACAGGATATTTTGGATTTTTTTTAAAAAAATGATTTTTATTTTTTTATATATATGTATTTTTTTTACTTTTTATTTTATAAAATTTATTTATTGGTATTTTCAAAATATAACGAAATTATATATTTGTTATATTTATATATTATTTTTTTTTAAAAAAAACTTATTTTTTTATTTTATTTATAATGTTAATAAAAATTAAAAAAACAAAAATATTATTTTGATAATGTCAAAAGTATAAACATTTTCATATTTTTAAAATAAATAAAATAATTAAATACATTTTATATTTTACTATAAAAAAAGAATATAAGATAGCTTTCATCAGATAATTAAAATAAAAAACTAGACGATAAAAATGAATATTAACAAAAAAACTATTTATAATTATCTGTTTTAAATAATTTTTAATCACAAAAACGATTTGATACTTAAAGTATTTATATACATATATAATAATTTATTTTAATAAAAAGCATTTAATAATTCAACAAGTATATTTAAATAAAAGTAATAAATTTAAAGAACAAAATTATATAATCTATTTAATAATTATTAAATATATTAATATAGAATTATAAATTCAAACAGTTCTTAATTAAATGAATTAATAAATACTCCATAAAATAAAATATTTTAAAGTACAGAAGTATAATAATTGGATAGTAAAGGGTTTACTTAAATTAATTTTTTATTTTTTTAATATCTATCTATTATTATTATTATAATTTTTTTTAATTTTCATAAGCTTTTTTAATTATACAAAAAAAATTATGAAACGATAACCTAAAATAATACTTATGGATAAAGAAAATTTATAAGAATAAATATAATAATTAAAATAAAAATTAAATAATTTAGAAATAGAAAACAAATAACTAAAAGTTAAAATTTAATAGCTTTAAGTAAAAATAATAATTAATAAAAAATAAATATTAACATAAATAAAAAAAATATTTTTGATAAAAAAATATAAGACGACCACGTAATAAAATAATCCTTAATTAAAAAATGATTAAAATATGAATGAATATTAAAAAAAAACAAAAGATAAGGATATAAAGGTAATAAATATCTTTGAAATAAATCATAAATTATTTTTATTTTTTTATATATATATATAATTTTTTTTTTTATTTTTATATATATTTCTATTTTAAAACATAAGTCAAATTAATCATTAGTACATAATTTAAAAAATAAAGTTTTTCAATTAAGATCTGATTTATAAAATAAATAATTATCATTAGAAAAAATTAAATAATCTTAAATCTATTCTAAACTTCAAGAATTATAAGTTTACAAAAAATTTTATAAGTTACTTATTTTATTTTTTTAATAAGAATGAAAATGATATATTTTAAAAAGAATATTTCAATATAACCTAAAAATTATAATAATCTATTAAATTATAAAACAATGATAAATAATATTAAAATGATCAAAATTATCCTTAAAATTTAATCAATATTTTAAAATAAGATAATATAGAAATCACTGCCTAACTAAAATAATATGAGATATAAGCTTATTATTAAAAAGTAAAATCAAAAAAATGTTAATTTTAATTAAATATTATAAATAGATTTAAATTTAAATGATGAAAAATCAAATATTTAAATAAAAAAATCTATTAAATAAGCAAAAAGAAGTAATATTTGAAAAAGACTTATAATTATTTAGATACAAAGGAATAGATCCTTTTTTAAATTAAAAAAATTAACAAAATCGAATCCTTTCTGTAGAGGCTTAATTAAAAGTAGATTTAGAAAAGAAAATACAAGAAATTTAAGGTTTGAAAAACACTGTATAAGTAAAAGAAAGAAAAATAATAGAACTAGAAAGAAAATATAAAGAAAAAGAGATAGAATTTACTGATTTAATATAAGAAGAATAAAAACAAAAACAAGACTTAAGAAATTAATATATCTAATAAAAAGAACAAATAATATAAATAAGATAAGAATTAGATAAAATGTAAAAATTAGACAGAAGATTATCAAGAATGAGTATTTTAAATATAGGAAATTTCGGATAATAATAAAATATAAATCAATAAGAAATAGAAAAAATAAATATCAATAAAAATGATAATAATAAATAGTAAGGAATATAATAATTAGAAATTCTTTAAGGAAAAAATTAACTATTTTAAAAAGTCAAGAAGTTTAATAAATGTTTTAAGAATTAAAATATAAGCTTATATTGAAAAGAATACCTGTAGAAAATTTAAATAAGTATTTATTTAATGATAGAAATTAGTATGAAAGTAATATTATAGATTTATATAATAATTTACAAGAATTTCCTTTTAATATCAGTGATGAAAATTAATTGGTAGTTTTGGCTAGATATTTAGTGGAAAATAACTAAGTAGAAACTAATAATATTGTTTTCGATATGTATAATGTTAATAAGAATGATATTATATTTAGCATTTTTAAAAATTTAGTTGATAATTATTAAATATTAAATGTTGATTAATAAAAATAAATAATGATTAATTTTATTAGAGTATTTTTTTTTTAATATTTATTTTATTATTAATTATTATTTTAGAAATTGAATTTTTAAAAAGAAAATATTATTGAAATTTTAAATAAAAATAATAATAACAAAAAATAAGAAGAATAAAATATATAAATAAATGTTTTAATAAATTGTTTATAATAAGTTCAAATTCTTCTAGATAAAAATGAAAAGGAACTTATTTTTATGATTATTTATAGCCAAGAAGGAACATTTTAATCAATTAAAATAAATAATTTTTTTTCTATTTTTAAATTTGATAAAATTGAATAAACACTAGAAAACATTTTTAAAAAATACAATAACGAAAATAAAGATTAGAAAAAATTATAATAGAGTAATATGAAATCAGCAAATAGGATATGTAAAAATTATATAAAAATTATAATTATAAATATATATTTATTTATATTTTTATATCTATTATTACTATATATATAAAATTATTCTTTTTATATATAAATTTATAGAGGAATAATCTGATGAATCTAATTCTGAAGATTAATAATCATAATCTATTTAAGAATGATATTAAAAATAAAATATTTTAAAATATATACAATTTATTATAAATTTCTCTAAAATAAGTTAATTACAATAAATTATATTTTTACATTATTAGATTAATTTAAATTAATTTTATATTTTTCAAAGATTATAAATTTAATATAATAAAAAAAAGAAATTATAATTTAAATATAATTTATATTTAAACAATTTTATATTATTACTTTCCTTTAATTTAATTCTAATTTTTTTATTTTAATATTCATTATACTAAATGTGTAAATATTTAAATATAAGTATTTATAACAATATAATTTTTTTCATTTAAAATAATATTTTATATAATATAATAATTTTTAAAGTAATTTGTAATTTAAAAAAATATGTATTTAGATTATTTATATATAATTTTTTTATAAATTTAAACTTACAAATCTTATTGTTTTTTACATTATATTATTTTAATTTTTGTTTACATATAATTTTTTAAAAACATTCTAAATATTCATATTTTATCATATAAAAAATAATAAATATATATATATATTTAAAAATTAAAAATTTACAAACAACAAAAATTACTCATAAAATAAAAAAAAAACCTTCGCAATAAATATTTTTTTTTTTTTTTTAAAAAAAAAAAAATGACGTAAAGTTTTCTCAACACTCCAACTACTAGTTTTTCTTTTTAAACATTTACTGATTCCAACATAAGAAATTTTATAAATTAAAATAATACATATTGGAAAAAACAACGTCAATTTTTCAATTCACCAGAAAATTATTACCAACAAGAATTAGACGAAATGACAAATTCAATTGAAAAATTCTATTAAACAACAACCTTTTACAAACCAAATATTGAATCATAATCAAATATAGAAAATCAATACGCTTATTTTTCAATAAAAAGTATTTAAAATGTCGATTTTACTCTACTACATATAAATAAAAATTCCCAAAACTTACAAAACATTATCCTTTCAAGTAAACTATAAATACTAGATTTATCCAAAAACAAATTTAGGGAAATTCCATCCTAAGTATTCTAGTTGTAAAACCTCAAAGTTCTCAAAATGAATTATAACCACCTCAAACAAATAAACCCATATCTTTTTTAAAAAGTAAACCTTGAATATTTTTCCATAAACAATAACATGATATTCGATATTCCTTAATAAATCCAAAAATGGTAACATACATTAAGATACCTTGACATTTCATACAATAGAATCGTGAACTTAAATTCTTTATCACCCTTAACACATTTACAATCTTTATTAATAAATAACAACGATTTTAGATTTCTCTCTTGTACTTTCCAAAACTTTACAAACTTAAAAAATTTAGTACTAGACTGGTTCCAATACACATAACCTCCTCTAGAATCACACCAAA